TGTGTGTGTGTGTGTGTGTGTGTGTGTGTGTGTGTGTGTGTGTGTGTGTGTGTGTGTGTGTGTGTGTGTGTGTGTGTGTGTATTCCCCCAACATATGTTTAGACAACATGCTTAGAAGATAGATGATATCTTGTTAAACTCTTTGGGGTCGAAATTGGATGAGAGTATATAGTTTAGAGTTCTGAGCTACATTGTGAGTGCACAGAGTGGGTACGTACAAACGGGTGATTGGCGCATATCGGCAATATGCCTTCATTTAAGTGTGGTACTATATGGGCCCAAGCTATCTAGCTCGATAAGCATAGGTTTTATGTTTGTAATTTGTTCTCTTTGTTCTTCTACTTGGAGCAGCTTGGCTCAGTGATTTCTGGACCCATCTCGCGCCATACACTCAACAAGTCACTCAAGCCATTGAGATCCTGAAGCGGCAGACAGCCACCGCCATATCAGCCCTCCAGGATAGGGCAGGGGTCCAGGCGATACAATTCAATACCATCTCCTCCGCTAATAGCGACGATAGTGATTGGGAACATGTGGAACACCCAGATGCCGTAGACACATCAGAAGAAACAGGTGCAAACGAGCCTGAAATCATACAAATTGAGGTCGATGGCAGCACGCGTACCGTGACTGAAGCGCCCAGAGAGAGCAAGGTAAATTCTTCCAATAATGATGATAGGGCAACTGCAAGTGTACTGACTCCACGAACACAGTCGCGCCAACAGCTAGCATCACAGCAGTTGCCAAGTGCGCAGGAGGAGGCGGAGGAGGCACTCAAACAGGTGAGTGTGTGTGTGTTGTGTGTGTTGTGTGTGTACAATTCATATATATATATATATATATATACCGTTTAATTGGGTGTGCGCGTATGTGTGTGCATACGTGGTCCCTCATTGGCAAGTCCTGTCGTTTATAGCCTGATATCTGTTAGGGCCCAATTTCTTCTAAAAGTAAAGCTGGGTGTCAACAACGGTGTAGCTGGGTGTCAACAACGGTGTAGCTGTGTGTCTCTAAGAGGTTTGTTAGGAATTTGGGTGCAGTAGTGGATCAATTTTCTTATTATTCAAAGAGAGACGTATATACCTTTGCTAGTCCTCGCAAATGGCCTAATTTTACCGGATGCTTTGCTTATCATCATCAAATTTGTATACAGTTTTACTTCACCGATCTGAAGCCGTCCGCTCGATACACCTCATCACGGTCACCGTCAGGCCACACACTCAAGCCACGCAAGGGACAGGTGGCACCCATCTCTCTGCCAGAGTCTATAGAGGGGCCATCCGACCCGGTATGTTACACTTGCAGATATTCTTGTACACATATATACACTCATAAGCCCCATGCTTACGTGCGATACGATAGTGATACCATATTTATGATCAGAAGCTTTGACCATGCTGTGTACGATACTATGTAGAGCTGTTGCTATGCTGTTCTGGTATACGGTGCGAATTGAGTTGTTGCCCTTTGGTATATCCTATAGGCTTTTATTTTCGAGTTGTTGTTTTTGTCCTCTCGCAAATTGCGTCTCGTCTGTAGATCTGAACAAGTGCCATCTAGACCAAAGTATGGATGGATCTCACTGATTAGTGTTTCTCCATAGGCTCTTCTAGCGTCTTCTAATATATATCTGAATCAACCATTAGGGGTATGCATCTACGAGTAAAGATTTAGAACTTATGATGGCATTCACCACTTCTCCAATCGACCACTTTTCCAATCGCATTATTGATAGTCGGGTCTTCGATATATTCTACAGAATAATAGTTACACACTATCCGCCATGTGTACTTAAATTCATGTACTGATATACTCTACAGAATAAAAGAAGTACACAAGGTCGCCACATCTATCTCCCGGACGTCCCCAACAAGATTGCGGGTCGATCCTCGGCGGCTGGCGCTATACAATTGCCAGAGGTGCCCGACAGTATAACTAGCAGAAGAAGGTGACACTCTACTTCCAGACTGAAGGACAAATAGCTTATATTCAACGATACATGGACTACTTCGACGCGGCTGAAGTATGGGCTTAGCAGCAACTGTTGCGTATCAAAATACTCCTTCTTCTGATACTGGCGTTCGGAATGAACTACTAGGGGGTGTATGGAACTCCTACCCGCATACTTATATACACGGTACTTTCTGCCTACCAAAGACCTCTGCCTCGTTAAACATACAGGGACTCTTATCAGAGCTTTTTTTTGAGAGCACGTTGCCCGCTATACGATTCGCCACCAATGTGTGCGCACTCTGACTCTTTTCGGGGACCCGTCAACCCTGCAATGTGACGGTTAGCGCTGCCTTCGTCGCACTTCCCCAATTACACATAGAAGCAGCCGCACATGGTATCTCTGTTTGAGACTCGCCTTACTTCGCCAGCAGGGCATGAAAGGTTGTATTTCTCGCTTCGCAAAGCATACTGCTTTATATTGGCTACTGCGATCATCGTTTTTGACGGATCTTTCCGGCCTGTGAATTTTTTATATTGGCTACTGCGATCATCGTTTTTGACGGATCTTTCCGGCCTGTGAAGATATCAGGCTCCGCACGACTAGACTTTCTGGCAGTAGTGATGTGTTAAGGTTGTTGTGTAAGGTAGCTCTGGTGAAGCAAAGAGTTTTCATGTGCTCATGCAGACGGAAACAAATAAAGACATCGCCCAAGACATCGCCCAGACTGAGGGTCGTGGGCTTATTTTGCCGTATAACTTTTAATTAGTTGCCTGATGCTCTGAGAGTGTTAAACCTGTGCTGCTGATATTTTTGTGCTCACTCACTCACTCAGTACCAATTTACCTGAAGAAAATATTTAAGCACCAAACTATACACCGGAAACACGAAAGTATCCATCTATTCACTTACCTTTAAAATATGTCGACTGCCAAGTATCCGGGAAGTATCATTTGATGAACATGAAAATTTGTTATTTCATGTATCGTATGCCTTTCAAGGTATAAACATTAGACCTCGCGCATAATACGTTAGTATAGTTACAACATACACGATACATTATTCAGTACACCGAAATTTCACTTACAGTCTATATATGCAATTTTTAAATCAGGTGTAGGGTTCACTCGTATATCCAAGCATTCCTGGACGTCAATACACAAACAAATAAAAACATGGTAAAA